GAGGAGAAGGACAAGGGAAAGGAGAGGAGGGGAGGGGAGGAGAGGAGAAGGGACAGGAGTGGAGAGGAGAGGACAAGACAAGACAGTGTTGTCATTTTTCACTGTGGGCACAGTGGCACATATTAAAAATGAAACTGCTGCCTGCTCTCAAAAGCATACACATACATAGCACACACGTACACATGCTATATACATGCATACGTACGTACACCCATACATACATATATCACACACATATTATAGATAGATAGATAGATAGATAGATAGATAGATAGATAGATAGATAGATAGATAGATAGATAGATATAAAAATGTTTTCTTAAGTTTTCGTGGGTATTTATATGTATGGTATTCAGCTTTGTTCGGGTATTTTCCCATTTTCCCATGATGGCAGATGAGATTCTGCCGAAACGTTGCTACAACTTTAAAAGCACAACTACAATGACGTGGGAAAATACCCGAACAAAGCTGAATGCCATACATGTAAGTACCCGCGAAAACTTGAGAATAGATAGATAGATAGATAGATAGATAGATAGATAGATAGATAGATATGTTTTCTTAAGTTTTCGCGGGTACTTACATGTATGGCATGTATGACTGAAACGTCGATACAACGTTAAAAGCACAACTGCTATGACGTGGGAAAATACCCGAACAAAGCTGAATGCCATATAGATAGATATGCTGTATATATGCTGTATATATGAGATATATATCCCTGTCCACCTTGAATACGTGGTGGAAAGAGGAAACTTGAGAGTTCACAATGTTGATGCTGTGTGGAACCAACTTATGACTGAACGTGGATGTTCCGCTTTGGGTACCACGAAGCTCCCTCCCCCTCCCAGACAACCCTGCAGACGTACCCTGCTCGAGCATCGCTTACATGCCATGAAACCTAGCAGAAAGCAAGCCAACCTGGTGCTCCAACTTTCATTTCCATCATCCCTTTTCAAAATGTTACCGTAAACAGGAAATTAAATTATCAACATTATGGCCAGCTTGCTCCCCATTTGATCACACTTTTGAGCCTGTCTTAAAAGAGCGAGGCTGAGGGCACCCAGAGTAGAGCCAGTTTTGAATTAAGGCACCAGGTTAGAAAGCGGGGTGGTGGTGGTGTGGGGGGGGGGGAGATGGCGAGTTCAAGTCCTGCCTCCGCCATGAAAGCCGGCTGGGTTGACTTTGGGCCAGTCCCTCACTCAGCACAATCCACCTCACAGGGTTGTTGCTGTTGTGGAAAAATTGCAAGCATTGGGTATGTTCATCACCTTGAGCTATTTGTAAAGCTAATAAAAGTGGTGTGAGTGTATACGTGCGAGTGTATGTAGCCCCAGAGCCGGCACGATGACGTCACCAGTGTCCAGTGACGTCACCAACCGTCACCGTCCTCTCCCGCTGAAATAAGAGACCTCGCTAATTCGACGCCGTGAGACGCCAAAATCACCTCCGCTTGCCACGCTTTCTGCTTTAGGGAGGCGGGGGGGGGGCGGCCCTTCTTCTCCCGCCCCACCCCTCAACCACCGGACCGGACGGCCGTTTAATCCTTCCGCCCCCTCAAAACTGTCTCCCCTCAACCGGCGCGAGCGGTTCCAATCGGCAAGGCGCATGCGCCAAAATTCCTCAGCCCGAAGACATTCCTCCAGCCAATCGGGGGGGCAAGCGCGAGCCGGCCCGCCGTCTCCGCGCGCCGCGGTTGTCCAGGGAGACCGCTTCCTTGACGGCCGCGGCCGTAAAGCGCGGTGTCCAACAGGAGGCTCCCCCCACTTTTCCCCCCCTTTCGCGACGGTCCCGCCGGGTGCAGATTCATGGCTTCGGCGGTGGCCATGATGGCGGCGGCCGGCGGCCCGGTGCTGAACGGGGCGGACGCGGCCGGGCTGAAGGAAGCGGCGGGCATGTACGAGCAGCTGCGGGCCGAGTGGAACCGCAAGAACCTCAGCTTGAGCAAATGTGGCGACTTATTGGGCCGCCTGAAGGTGAGGGGAAGGGGAACCGCGGGACGGGAGGGAACTAGAAACCGCCTTATGAGAAACTTGGGGGGGGGGGGGGACTTGAAACCCCCGCCAAGGGGAGACTAGAAACGGACAAAACGCGCGGGGGGGGAACAGAACTCGCTCCCGAAGGCGAGCCTCTTTTTTCCTCCTTCCCAGGTGAGTCGGGAGGGAAGCTGCATCTACAGGTAAGTCCTCGACATACGGCCTCAGGGGGAGCCTTTCTGTGGCTGAGGGGAGACATTTATTTAAATTAGTTTTGCCCCACTTTACGACCTACATTGCCACCGTTGTTAAGTGAATCCCATAGTCACACGGCTGTTAAGTGGATCTGGCCTCTCCCCATGGACTTTGCTGGTTCGAGGATCACAAAAGGAGGATCTCGTGACCTCCGCGTCGTAAGTGTGAAACAGTTGCCAAGCATCTTTAATTTTGATCACGTGATGGGGGGGGGAAACAACATAAAGTGCAACGGTCGTAAAGGGTGAGAAGCGGTCGTAAGCCCCCTTTTGCGGTGCCGTTCTACCTTCGGTTACTAAGCGAACTGTTGTAAGTCGAGGACCGCCTGTA